GGAAGTTTTTAAGAAGAGACTGGACAGCCATTTGTCCGAAATGGTATAGGGTTTCCTGCCTGAGCAGGGGGTTGGACTAGATGACCTCCAAGGTCCCTTCCAACTTTATTATTATTATTATTATTATTATTATTATTATTATTATTATTATTATTATTATTATTATTATTATTATTATTATTATTATTATTATTATTATCATTATTATTATCATTATTATTATTATATGGGTCCTCATTTCACTGACCTCAGAAGGATGGGAGGCTGAGTCAACCTTCAGCCAATCAGGCTCAAACTTTTGGCAGTGAGCAGGGATCCCTGCAATACTACATTCTAAGCACTGGACCACCACGGCTCTTTCTAACTAATTCTTCAAACATAGGAAATTACACATTTCCACATGCAGATGCTCACCTTTGCACCTTTTATTCCAGCATTTCCTACTGGACCGCGAGGTCCTGGAGGCCCCTGAAGGTCAGAAAAAAGAAAACGGGGGGGGGGGGGAACAGCAATTACTGCAGAGCAAAAGCAACAGTGCTGTAATTTCCAGGTTAGTGCCAGTTTTTATTTTATTATTTGCATGCCTCCAAATCCATATGGATTCCCAAGAGTCTGCAAAACCCTCATGGAATAAAGTCATGGACTCCTAGATGACACTATCCTATCGAGAGTCTCTGATCACCACCCTACCCCAACTTATTCCACGAGCTTTATTTTTTTGCCCTAAAATTGCCCAAATAATTGGGGTCAGCTCTCCTGTGCATCAAGTGTCTGGTATGCAGTGAGAGATGGCTTTCATTCATTCATTCATTCATTCATTCATTGTTCGTTCATTCATTAATTCATTCGTTCATTCAATTTCTACAGTTGCCCATCTTGGTCCATCACTCTGGGTGGCTCATAATTCAAAAATTATATAACAATCAAAATATTAAAAAATATTTTAAAGCAATAAAAACAGTAGACACGTCCAAAATAAATATACATAGCAGCTGAGATACTTGACCAATGAACCATATAGCCAGGAAAAGGGAGCCTTAATGTGTTCAGCATCCTAGTCTCAGGAGCATGACTACATTTTTAGGGTCTTATGAAAGGCTAACAGGGTTGGGGCCACTTCAGAAAAAGCTTCTCTTCTAGCCCCTGTCAGCTGACAATCTTTGGCTGATGAGATCTGCAGCATGCCTGTGCTGGACCAGTATGTAACTCTGGCCAGAGCATATATTTAGCTTAGGAATTAAGAACTGTGTTAGAGCATTTAGCATTTAAAGGGTCAAACACTGTCTCCTTAAGTGATGGCCTCTGGGAAATGTAGTCTAGTCAGTCCTATATCTTATCTAGTCAGTGGGAGGGGCTTCAAAGTTTATTACAGGATGTCCTGGCTAAGTGCCAGGGTTGTAAAAGTCTTTGTTTAATTAAGCATCATGCACGCAGTGATTGGCATCCGTAAGCATGCCTAACTGAGATGGGGAATTATTCCTTTTTACCTACGAGAATGGACAGATATGAGTATGACCGGATGTATCTACTGCACAGTAAGTCTCTGCTTAGAATTCCTGGATAATAAATATTTGTTTAAAACCATTTCCGTGGAGTTTATGCTACCTGGATCAGAACTATAACGCATCTCAGTTCACGGTTCCAGAATAAGGCCCCTTCTGCTAGATCTGGTTGGATGGGTTGAGACTCTTGAAAAAAGATGACCCCTGTGTGGTCAAACAGGGTAGCAAGGTGCCCAGGGGGTTGATACTTACTGGATTTCCTGGTACACCTTTCTGCCCAGGTTCTCCCTGCAAAAAAAGCATAGATAAACATTTGGGGTTGATACTAATGGTGATGCATGGTTGAAGCAAGCCCCACAACATATCGAAAAGGGAGTTACTCACTTCTGGCCCTTGGATTCCTATGCCAGAGGTACCTGGTTCCCCCTAAAAAGTTGCAAAAGTTATGTTAGTGGAAAGACGACTCTTAGCGAAAAACTTTCAATCCACAACTCTTGAGAAGAAGTAGCTTAATGTTTCAAGAGGAGAAGGAAGGAGGCTCCTTAGTCTTGGTTACAAAATTGGGTAGGATAAAATCCCGTTTATTTATTTCGAATCCCGTCGTCCCCTACTCGTGGTGTTCGAAATAAATAAACGGGATTTTAACCAGGCCTGGAGTATCATCGATGAATTGCTATCGGTGAGTAAAAAGACACTCAGACAAGATGGTGAGGTCCTTAGCTGAAAATGGATGCCCGAGAAAAGCTCTTTGGATGAATACAACACTGATGGTTACTCACCTGCAACCCCTTCAGGCCAGGAGGCCCCTGAACACCTGGAAGTCCTGGTTTTCCCTGAGAATTGGAAGAGGAACAAGGAATTAGTTCAATGCATTTTAGAACTTTTCAACTCTTCCCATCTGAAGGTATCTAGTTCAATGGCATCCTGGACAAAACTCCAGAGAAATGTCTTCCATCTTTGACAACAGCACATTCTAGTTGTACTGGACCACCTCCCCTAATCCCCCGCCTGTATGGCCAAAGTTACACTTGTATTTGTAGCTCAGGATCAAACTCTCCTTGGTGCTCTCCAAACTTGATGCTTTTCCATTTCATTACCAAACTAAGCAACTTCATCACTGCACTGATGATGTTACCTAGTTTGGTAATGAAACATCTGCAAGAAAACAACCACACTCAGAGAGCACCAAAAATCACACACATCTGTGTGTCTGAGAAGTTTGCTTTATCAAAGGGATGGAAATCTGAAGCCCTCCAGATGTTGAGTTGCATCATCCCCATATTTCCTCGCTAATAATGAGGACTGTTAGGAGTTGTAGCTGTAGTTGCAGGTTCCCCATCCCTGCTTGACTAGTTTCCAGTTGACAGATAATCCTGAGGGAGAAAACTGAGGACCCTATGGTTGATTTGGAAAAACTGAATAAAATGTGTGTTTACACTGGGGAAAGGATGAACTACAGTGAACAGTTATATAAACCTTTACACTTCTAAATTTTGGAAGAGGTTATTCGGATAATCAAGATGAATCTTACACTTGAAGCAAGATGCCAGTTTAAAGCATTATCAACAGATGGCCCCTTAGTCTCGGTGTGAGAAATCTAGTGCAGAAAAATTCACCTCATTTAGTAATTGGTTCCACTTTTCACCACGTTTGACTACCTGCCTTTCCACAACTTAAATCCATTATTCTTTGTCCTGCACCCTGGGATGAGAGAAAACAGTCTTGGCTTCCTTTGAAAGATATCCTCAGGTATTTAGACTGCTCTAATATAATCTTCAATCTTTTCAAGGCTAAAACAGACCCAAATGCTTTCATTTCTCCTCATCCTTTTAAGCTTTACTTCAGAATCTAAAGGGTAGGATAGAAATGCATTTCTTCTTTTCAAGTAAAATCAACATGGAGATTTTGAACAAGCCACACTCTGAATCCCGGTGGGAAATTCTAGGCTGCTTCTGTGCATGAGTGAAATTACTAAATACACAGAGAATTAGATGAGGTCAACCCTGCCATCCTGAATAAAGACTTCTTTCTCAAATTAAGGTTAAAGAGCAATATTCGTGAGAATGTAACTATAGGGCTATTACTGTAAGTTATCCTCAACATTATCAGATATATTCTCAGCTTAATAAGATTACAGCTCGGTTTATTTTGTAGCCTTAATAAAAAAAATATCTCATGCAGATAGATTTTCTTTTGTTAATCAAAGTCTGGGAACATTAATGATTTGACATTCATTGTTCCACAATGGTCACCTTTTATTCAGAAAAGCTGCTTGACGGAGGTGTTCTGATATGTAAATCAAATCAGTTAATGAAAGGAATAAAAACCAGCAGTTAACACGGTGCCTTCAAATAAACTTGATTGGAACCAAGCTCGCAGCAGATGAGAGGAAATGTATCTTCATGCAATGCGTAATTAACTGATGAAAGTCATTTCTGCACGCTCTGGTGATGGCTCTTGTCTTAAGGGATTAGAAAGATTCAGGGAAGGAGAATTCTGCCAACAGCTATTAGCCACGAGAGCAGTAGGCTACTCTTCTCCAATTTGGTGCCTCCCTGATTACAAGGCCCATAATCCCTGGACAACCTACTCGAGGCCATATGGAATGAGAACCATGGGACTCTGCAATCTGACACTCAAAGAAATTCTACTACTTGAAAATTGAACCCAGCCCTGGATGAATTGGCAAGTTGGTCCAAAGCACCAAGGCATTTCTAAAGATCCATTGACCAGCTAACGGTTCAGTTCCAGGAATACGGAGTGACATGGGTTGCTAAAGACGCAGGCTGAAATGTTCTGCCTTTTTTACACAAATAACTGGAAAGAACAGGAGTGAGTCTTGGTTATATCGGACTAAGTTCTCAATAAAACATTTGCCCTAATTTGGTTTGGTGGTGAAGGCACCAGGCTAGAACCCAGGAGAGAGGGAGTGCTAGTCCTGCCTTAGGCATGAAAACCAATTGGTTGACTTTACTTTCCTGAAAGGATTGTTGTTATGGGGAAACTAGGAGGAGGGAGAAGTATTGTGTGTGTTTGTCACTTTGAGTTATGTATAAAAATAATAAAGACGGGATAAACGTATATAATAAGAAAATAAACTCATAACTGATCACTGGTTGGAACTGTTTGAAAGCTACTTACAGGTTTGCCTGGCTGACCCACACCTGGAAGACCAGGATCCCCTTTTTGACCAGGTATGCCTGGGACACCAACTACTCCAGATTGGTCTGTGCTGATTATGGAACATGACTCACAAGCCTCTCCCTGTAGGACGAGAGAAGGCAGATGAGAAACAACGGATAGGTCAGTTCTAAGTTTGATACAAGTACTATGTTATTTCTTCATACAATATATCACACAGCCACTGGCTACAGAAAGTTATAGAACTGGAATGGAACATGTGAAACTCTTGACTGGTCATGCTCTCAACATCTACAACAGTGTGGCCAAAGCACACCGCTCAAGCTTTGTGCAAACAGATTGTCTAAACCACTTATGAAGAAGGTTCACAGAAAGAGGAATGAGCAACCAGAGGCTCATAGACATCCTTGAACCTCTTTTTCTAAAACCTCCCCATGCCATCTTAATAAGGTGCCAATAAATGATAGCAGGGGAATCCACTACTCTGTGGAAATATATGAAATTGCAGTTTGTGCCTTAAAAAAGTCATGTAAGAATAAAAATGCTTCTCGGGAATTTTCTTCATTGGGACCTGACCTCTAAAGAGATTCTGGTTTAAATATTATTTGTATTGTTTGAGTATAGAGAAATCAATTTGTCTCAGATGTCATATTTTTGTACAGGGGAGGCAGTCAACCCTTCCTTCCTTCCTTCCTTCCTTCCTTCCTTCCTTCCTTCCTTCCTTCCTTCCTTCCTTCCTTCCTTCCTTCCTTCCTTCCACCAGGGATGTCCATAAAATATGGTCAAAACAATCAAGATGCGAGTCATGATGGTACAAACAAAACTCTGTTTTTTTAAATGGGTCGTATGTACTGGACCTTGACTTTTTTGACCATAGTTGTTGACACCCGTGCCAACTCTATTTATAAATGATTGTGTTCCTATAGATTTACAAATGTGTTAAAATTATCCCTTCTACTTGCAGAAAGGTGCAAGTTAGGTGGATGAGAAAGAGTTTAGTTGGACCTGGACGGTGTCTAAGCTATTTTTCTTATGAGTTCCCAGTATTTCAAAAAAAGCAGACTCTCACCTTTTCACCTTTCACCCCTGCTAGTCCTCTGATGCCAGGCTCACCAGGGAGGCCATGCAAACCTGCTTCACCAGGTGTGCCCGGATCACCTGGGTTTCCTCCATCACCCTGGAAAGCACAGAAGATAGGAGAAGAGGGATGAAAACTCCCTGGTCTGGTGCAGAGTATGGCTGTGTTCACACATCACACTCATTCAGGTGAGTTACAGACACAATAGTTGCAATTGCACAACTTCCTAAGTGTGTGCTTCTGTATATGTTGTGGTCTGTGGTGCCATACAATATGACAGCACACTATACCCAGAGTAATGTGGTACAAGGGTCAGAGCAGATCCTCTGTGGTCATAGAGCTGGTACTAATAGGGTAGCAAAAGTAAACAGTCATAAATTTTCCAATTAGGTTTGGGAAAATTAGATAGGAGTCTCCACTTAGCTACAAAATAAGCTTTATCTGTGGGCCAATCAATTCAATTACTTTGGAAGGCTATTGTAAGGGAAAGAGGAGAAGAAACCATGAACACTGACTAGAACTTAGTACAATGGTAAGAGATGTTGGAGTTATAGGATAGCAATAACTAGAAGGCCAATAACATCTGCGTATTCCAAGTCCTTGTGAATAAGGTGACCAATCGTCCTCCTTTAGGGAGGACAGTCCTTCTTTTGTACTCATTTAAATAATAATTAATAGGCATGTAAGCATAATTACAATATAAAATGTTATTGTTACAAATGTTTTTATTATGCATTTATCATATTATAGTGTATTCTGTATTGTTGCAATGAATAAAATGTTTTATTTACGATATTTTTTTCTTCAATTTATTTGTGTCCTCCTTCTCATTGTAAAAAAGTTGGCCACCTTATTGTGAAGGACAAAAATGGACAAAAATTGGACAAAAATGCCAAATCCAGACTAAATATCTGACTGATTATGTGATTAGAAGAAAATGTGAATATTTGATGTGGCCACCCCTGGATATATAGCAGAACAGAAGACAAAGAAATGGAGAAGGTCACGAAGAATCAAGATCTGAAATCAACGCTGAAAGATAATGGCATGAAGCAGCCATGGTAGTCCCAGTAGTTATTGACACACTGGGTGCCGTACCAACAAATCCTGGAGCACTTAGAAAATCTGTGAATTGACAACATTTCCATCTGTCAGTTACAAAAGGCCACACTGCTTGGATCCATACATATACTCTGCTGATATGACACCCCAGGTTCTTGGGAAGAACGTGAGGCGTACCAACACCAGGTAAAGAACTGGCAGCTGTGATTTCACATTTTTTTGTGTGTATATAATAATAATTGATTAACTTTGTGCCCTGAGGATGTCGGAAGGATCCGATGAAAGCTTGGCCCCTATGATTGTATGCTTTTAAAGGTTTTTAAGGTTTTTACTAAACTTTTAATTGTCGTATATTCTCCTGGTGTTCGCATTTTTATTTTGTATTATGGATATTCCCAGGAGTCATTCGTTTGTCTTCTATGTTATTTGCAACCATAATAATAATTGTCAGTTCCTGGTGTGCTTATTTTATCTCCCTAGCAGCAAGGTTACAGCTGTCTGCTGGGTGTCAGTTAACACAGTGCCAAGTCCTCTCACCACAATTTTATATATCATTTCCTTTAAATTCTATGAAATCTTTCTAATTCCTAATGCTAATTCCAGGAAATGGCTACGGATATTCAGGAATCCAGTGCAAGGTTGCCAGGCAACCCAGAGGCTTTCAGGTGAAGGTGGCTTTGCGAGGAAAGGTGTGCAAGTGCACAGGCCAAGATGGCCCGCTTGGTAAGGGTTGCTAGGCAACTGCGGTTCTAGTTCTTGAGCCTCAGGGCCTGTGTGCCTTTCAGAACTGCATAAAAAGGAATGCCCAGAATTAAATTATTCCTCAGTTCTGAAAAACAATCTGCTTCTGCTGAAATTATTGTATCTATATTCTTGAACAATGCCTAACTTGTGTTCGTACATGCATTTGCACCCATACAGGTGTAGTCCTCAATTTACAATTGGGGGCAGAACGTCTGTTGGTCAAATAAGTCAAAATCACATCTGATTTTGCCATTTTTTTTATGCCACACGCTTGTTACCTGAATCACTGTGATCCTTAAGTGAATCCAGGTTGCCCCGTTGACTTTGCATGTTGGATATTAGCTGGGAAAGTCACAAATGATGCTCATGTGACACCAGGACACACTGCAACTGTCATACCACAAGTATGTTGTGACGGTTGTAACTATAAATCCCTTTTCCAGCACCATTGTAACTTTGAAAGTCAATAAATGAATGGTGATAAGTCAAAAACTACCTCTTTAGGTAAATTATAGTGACCAGTCAACCTTTATTATAAAGGGCCGTTCTTTATTTCAGAAGGCTGCCCTTTAGATTAATTTAATTTAATTATTTATTTTCTCGGTTTGGCCCTTGAATTTTCCTTTGTAAGGCAAATAAATATGTATATATGTATGCACGTACATAGGTATGTATGTGTGTGTATATCCTTATTAACCTTTTTCAGATTTTCCCCCTTTTCTGCTTTGTCCTTTATGTCCCCCTCAAAAAATTTAGGGTCACTATAAAGTTAATGCATCACAAGGATCACTGATTTTTGAATAAGATAACATTGTGTAAACTCAACTGCTGTTTCCAGGCTTTGTGTGATGTGTGAACCAGCTCATTGTACTATATTCAACAGACCGTAATGAATAAAACCTTGATTTGGCGTAACTAGGTGAATCTGTCCAATTGCATCTCGCTCTTGGTAAAACTAGTCAAACTTCCTGTTGTAGCCATGATACAACTGGTGGGAACTGGTTCCCTGCTGGTGATAGAATAAAGGCAGACCCATCTCCATCTTTACTTACCCTGCAGCATCCCAAGTGCTCAGTTTTAAAAGATGCACTACATGCGCAACAATATTATTCCTATAAAGATTGTGGAAATACTCTGTTTCCCATGAATAAGGAATGGATGAGTGGACTCATTTTCTGCCAGGGTTTATTTAGAAAGGGTTTAATCAGAGTAATGAGATGGACTCCACTGAAGGAGCAATTTTCTACTCACATCATATTGTAGATCTGGGTGATGGTTAAGAAACGGATTGAATAACAGACTAATAAAGCAGGCAAACAAAGGGAATATATCTGCGAATATTTCCAGTGATTTCTCTGTAGCTTTTATAACTTGATTGCATTACAAATTATTGCAGTTTTCTCCCACAATTAGATCATGTCAATATATAATTTATGTGCTTTTGCCATGATCCAGCCTTAATAATGCAAATGAATGCACTTGCTTTGCAACACATCAGTGTTTTGGGAAACAAATGAAGTTCCTGGCCACGGTCAGAAGCTCATCCTGTTTACTTTGGGGCTGAGAAACCAAAGCTTTAACTTACCTTCTGTCCTTTTATTCCAGCTTCTCCAGGTATTCCCTAAAGCAGAGAAAGCAAATATGAACTGAACAGTTTTCCACCCAGACTGACAGATTGGAACTACCCCATCGCAGCCGGAAATTCCTTTTATAGAGGTTTGTTCAGGCAATCTAATAAGGAAGCTGTTTGCAGGATCTTCTCCAATCATGTTCTGCATGGAACAATGGCATCAGCTGTCAAATCATAGCTAGATGTACTGTGGAGCCTTTGATGCGCTCTAAGCTTGGTGGTTTTCTTGCAGAGGTTTCATTACCCAATTATATAACATCATTGGCTCTCCCTTCTAGCACTGATGATGTTACCTAATTGGGTAATGAAATGTCTGCAAGAAAACCACAAAGTTCAAAGAGATGAAGGACCCCATACTTCAATCCTGAGCTACAGAAGTGAAGTCAGGCGAGTGCAGACAGAACACCAGGCTGTCACTGCAGCCAAAGGAAACAGACTGAAACTAGAAACAGGTTTTGTAAGCCAACGGTCTATGGAGATTATCAGTCGTCCTGGTCGCGATTGTCCCAAAGGTGCAACTGGAATTTCTTGGTTTTCTTCCTTGAAAACATTTCACTTCTTATCCAAGAAGCTTCTTCAGTTTATCTTCTTCAGTTGAACTGAAGAAGCTTCAGATGAGAAATGTTTTCAAGGAAAAAAAAACAAAACCAAGAAAGTCCAGTTGCCTTTTGAGAAGCACCTTTGTAAGCCAACTCTATTTTGAGCAAGCTTAATATATGGCTCTGAAAGTTGGACCATAAGAAAGGATGAGCGCCAAAGAATGGAGGCCTTTGAACTATGGTGCTGGAGAAGACTCCTGCGAGTCCCCTGGACTGCAAGGCGATCAAACCGGTCAGTCCTGGAGGAGATCAACCCTGACCGCTCTTTAGAAGGCCAGATCCTGAAGTTGAAACTCAAGTACTTTGGCCACCTAATGAGAAGGAAGGACTCACTGGAGAAGAGCCTGATGCTGGGAAAGATGGAGGGCAAGAGAAGAAGGGGATGACAGAGAAGGAGGTGGCTGGATGGAGTCACTGAAGCAGGAGGCGTGAGCTTAAATGGACTCCAGAAGATGGTAGAGGACAGGAAGGCCTGGAGGAACGTTGTCCATGGGGTCGCGATGGGTCGGACACGACTTCGCAACTAACAACATGTATTCATCATATTGAACTAAAATCAAAAGTAAACTCCTTTCAACTTAAATACGATCCTCTTTCATTGATAGAGATCTTATCAGTGAGATGTGCAACATATAAATTTAAGAAAATAAACAAATAAATCATGAATAAATAAATATCACTTCAACTCTGCTGGTACCATTTGTGGGCCTCAACTGCAAAATAAACGAGTGCATTCCACTGTGTCAGGAAATGGTGATTTCCTTCCACATCTAGAGACCATCTTCCGGCAAGTCCTTTTAGGATAATAGCCCCCCTTTCTCCTCCCCCTAAATGAGACATAACTGAGAAACCCACTCACTTGTTTTCCAGGAAGTCCAATCCCAGGGACACCTGGTTCGCCCTTTTCACCTTGAGTCCCAGGGACACTGATTGTAACTTTTCCACCTTCGAGAGAAGAGCAGGACGTGCATGATTCACCCTGAGAAAAGATGGTGGGATACGAGAAAAGACTTGTCAACATTCATGGCTGCCTTACAGGAAAAGGTAAGTCATGCTCATTTCATCTCTCGTTATCAAGGTGCTCACCTTCTCGCCTTTGACTCCTGGACCGCCAGTGTCCCCTTTATTGCCCTGGATTCCCTGAAAACAGAGAAGAAGTTAAGATGCAATTAAGAAGGGAGTGGAAAAGGGGAAAAGCCAAAGAGTTCTTTTAATCTTGTCGGCATTGTAGTTTAGATGGATAATGAAACCAATCATTAAAGTTAATTGTCCAGCATTAGAATGTATTGAACAGCTCTCTGGGTTCTTGTGTGTGAGTGTCTGCGTTGTAACATCTGGAACAGAATTTCTGAGAAGGGGAAAAAAAATCCCAAAGAGAGCCTAACTATATGCAGTTCATTCTTGGAATTCAGAATTACTATCCTTTGCTGCAAGGGTCTCTCCTTCTACTCCCACACAAAAATGCACCCCCCTTCTTTGGTTAGCATTTTTAAAAAAAATATTATTAGATTTTTTAAAATCCCACCTTTGTTATTTTATAAATAAATCAAGGTGGCAAACATACCTATTCCTCCTCTTATTTTCCCCAAAACAACAAATCTATGGTGGCTTGGACTGAGAGAAGGGGACTGGCCAAAGGCTACTCAGCTGGCTTTCATGCCTAAGGCAGGACTAGAACTCACTATCTCCTGGTGATTGGTCCAAAGTTACCCAGCTGGAGTTCATGCCTAAGGCAGGACTAGAACTCACCATCTCCTGGTGAATGGCCCAAGGCTACCCAGATGCTTTTCATGCCTAAGGCAGGACTAGAACTCACCATCTCCTGGTGAATGGCCCAAGGCTACCCAGATGCTTTTCATGCCTAAGGCAGGACTAGAACTCACCATCTCCTGGTGAATGGCCCAAGGCTACCCAGATGCTTTTCATGCCTAAGGCAGGACTAGAACTCACCATCTCCTGGTGAATGGCCCAAAGTTACCCAGCTGGCTTTCACGCCTAAGGTGGAACTAGAATTCACTGTCTCCCGGTAATTGGTCCAAAGTCAGCCGTTCAACCCAAATTCTCCCTGCGGCTTTCATACCTAAGGTGGGACTAGCTCAGTATTTCTTGGCTTCTAGCCTGGTGCCTTCATCACTAGACCAGACTGACCAGTACCTGTAAGGTGATCTGAAAGACTACGTTTTTTGAGAACTCAGAGATGGGGACATTAGTGTGGTTTCTCACAATTCCCATGGCTTCCATTTGCTTTCACAACATGTTCACACTATCCAGACCACAGAATGATTCTAGAGAGAAACCAGCACCGTTACAAAACTTTCTTGCCTGGTCCTACTCACAGGTTTGCCGATAGGCCCGAAAAGTCCATGGTCTCCCTAGGGAAAAGAGGAAAACAGGCAGGTTACTGAAAGAAGCAAATGGGCCATAATGGGACTTCTGAGATAAAAGCAGCCTATTGATCAAAGGATTAACCTGGAAAAGGGAGGGGGAGGAATAAGTGAAAGCAGCTCAGGGAAGCAATGTTTCTTCATTCCAAGCAAACAATAATAGGATATTAAGTACTATTGGCAGCTTGAAGTCGGTACACTGAATGGATTTTGCTGCTCATATAAAGAATCTGAAAGTGAGGTGCAGCCTGAGTGATGATCATAAGTTCCCAGAAAACTTTGCAGATTGCTATGGAGGATGATTAGGTTAAACTTGCAAATCTGTAGCCTTCCCCAAGACAGGAAGTTTACATGTTCCACGGGAATCTCTGCCTTGTGAAAGAAGATAATGATTCAAGTTTATGACCCTAAATCTAAGACTGTAGATTTATGTGTTCTTTGAATAACTCAGTAAATAATCCAGACATCCAGCAAATAAAAACAGGGGGGATAATGAAGGAAAAAAACAGAACAGTGTACACATATTATGGAAGCACGCAGATACACATGTAAACAGTTACATACACAATTTTATTAAACTCTGAATGAACAAACACTTGAAAATGAGTTGTGCATGCTGAATATTTTACCTTTTCTCCTTTGAATCCAGCCGTTCCAAGAAAGCTAGGCATGCCCTGTGGGGTCAGGTGGAAAGAACAGTGGCCAACGTTAGTGAGGAAACGATTAATATGATACTTATCAAGACAATTCATCAAAAGTTAAAGTAGTCCTCAACTTACGACCATAGTTAGGATCATGTGACCACGGGGATGCTGCAACAGTCACTAAATATGAGCACTGGTCACAAATGGCTTGTTTCAGTGTCATTTAACTTAAAATGGTCACTAAACAAATGGTTCTAAGTTGAAGACTGTCTGTAATATATCCAGACTTGAGGGGCCCATTTCAAGCAGGTTTTTTTTTTTGGTAACAATATAGAAATGGTTTGACACTGTATTAGTGACTCTTCCCATTTCTCATTCTAGCCTACAATCCTGGCAAGTCCAAGACTGATTAACCAAGGCTGATTTGACTTAGCTTTTCAAGATCAACTAATGTCCACTAGATAGCAATAATAATAATAATAATAATAATAATAATAATAATAATAATAATAATAATAATAATAATAATAATAATAATAATAATAATAATAAAGTTGGAAGGGACCTTGGAGGTCATCAGTGGGTGAGACGTCAGCGGCAGCTCAGGAGTTCTTGGCTTCCATGACGGCCTTGGACTTGACCCAATTAATTCAGGCCCCCACTCACACGGGTGGACACACGCTGGATCTGATTTTTGTCTCAGGCCAGTGGCAGAGTGATCTGGCATTAGGGGAGATAGCTATTGAGCCCTTGTCATGGTCAGATCATTCTCT